TTGTTACGTAATCCACGAGGATTCATCCGTTCGCGATTCGAAAGAAAGAAGTTCATTCAAATTCAATTATAAAGTGACTTTGGACAGGATATATTTTCTTCATCGTTTCCGGCCGATGTTTCGATCTCGTTTCGATCGTAGAAATTTGATCGTAAATCGTCGAACGTTTTTTGCACGTTTTGTTTGACAAACTACGTTAATCTAATTTCAAGCAAACGAATCGAATTCGTTTCCACTTTAGCACTCTGGTTGCTAAGCTTAGATCCGGTTATTGCCATTTTTCATCTCTTAATCTCGTGGACGGATCTCTCGTCCATTGTCCGATAAACCACCGCCATGAATAAATTCATCTTGATAACAAATGTCATTGTTTCATGCAAACTTGTTCGATGCGAACAAATCAAGGATGCGCCTCGTTTGTTTCTCTCTGAGCGAGCCTGAATCGCGTTAATTAATCTTATCCATCTCTTCCATCGGTTCTTTCTAATTGACTCTAAGAGGATTCTATGTCTCTACTCGAATTCGAAGCGTTGCCAAGAGAAGAAATTCGAGATTGAAAGTTTCCTCGAGAAGTAAGAGAGTGGATAGATTGGAAAATGGATTTATCGAATTTAGAGAAATTGTCGAAAACTGATAATCGAAAAAAATAGTCATTCCTATTACGTGAAATAATACGAAATATACTTTTACAATCGGATTTTAACGCATATTTTCTTTCTTTCTTTTTCTTTTTTTTGAAATCAAATTTTGGAGACAATCTGTTTCGCGAGAATTTCTTCTTTTTTCCCTCTAATTTATTTCGATTCGAGTGGGATTAGAGTTAATTCGTGGAAAAGAAAATTCTTCGAGTTCTTCGAGTCATTTATTTGACAGGTATCGATAACGAAGGAACAGTTTATTGAAAACTCGATGTTTTCACGATTCTCGATTCTTCCAATTTTAGTTTGTTTGAAGCATTACGACGTAAGTACGGACTTTTGACATTTTATTCGCGCGAGCGGCTGCCGATTTATATATACACAAACTTCAATCTTGCCCTTGCTTGCCGATCGACTACGACATGTTTACACGAATTTACCGCCATTTCCCCAGGACGTCTGCCCGTGTTGCGTCCCTCTATATCTTGGTGAAGGATGGAGCATTTGCGAAACTCGTTTCCTTTGACCACGATTTCTGCATCGTTTAATCCCGTCCAACCTTAGTGAATCCGTTGTTTCTACCCTCGCTTTCAAATTCTCTTCTCCGCGAAGGAATCGTAACTAGAAAAAAAATCGTAATATCGTAGTTAATCGATGTATTAAAAATTTTAAATTTGTGATTTTTTTAAGATCTGATTGTTATAATTTTATCATTGGATATACACATATATATATTTTCTTTTACTCGAAACGAGCAACTTTAGACTTCCTTTTTCAACGC